TTATATTAAAAATTATAAATATGTGGATGAAATAAAAAAAAATGCACGAAATTTTTCAAATATAATAATAACAAAATTCATCCTTTTTTTTTTATTTGTGCAAACGACATGGTGTAAAAGCCACGTAGCAAACACATTGTCACCTATTAAGAACATTTGCAACTTCGTTGTAAACGTTAACTTATACTGCGTTGCACATCGCTGCATCGTTGTAGAGCTGTTAAACTAATCGCATTAAAAGACAACGCAGAGTGAGAACTACATCCTTCTCTTGAGTATATACCATCCAATTCTCTCTCTCTCTCTTTCTCTCTCTCTCTTTCTCTCTCTCTCTCTCTTTCTTTCTCTCTCTCTCTCTCTATCTATCTATCTATCTATCTATCTTCTTGCGTACTTTCCCTAACAAATTCAGATACTTTGGATAATGCAATAAACTTTGCAAAACGTTTTATAAGTGCTCGTGTTCCGGATGTAGTCTATGTCAGAAGCAGGACTTGGAATTAATGACTAAAATTTGCCTAGATTCCTTTTTGATATTAACCCTCTCTACTTTGACATAGTTTACTAACAGATAATTAAAATAAATACGTTAAGTAATTCTTGTTCACGTACGCAAAATTCGTTATTCCTTCTATTCGAATTCTGAATATATGATTGCGAAAAACATTAAGCTACATTTCTTGTCCATTAATTCTATTGCATCGCCGATGAAGCAAACTAATCACATTAAAAGCATCGACGGCGATTATTTTCTCCGTAGCATTAAATTTTTCACTATACATATACATATATGTATACACATACTAATTTATTTTATACAATTCCTGAATATATGATACAAATAGAATATGATACAAATTTCGCAAAATATTTCGTAACTTTATCAGCACTCATCAATTATGTTTGATGCAGAAACATCACCTATAACTTTGTCACGAAATTTGTGAGCGAAAGAACATCCGATTATTTTTCTGGGGAGTTCTCTGTATAATTTTATTCTAATGCAAGATAAAGTATTATTTTCTTAGCAGCCAAGCTTTGTGAAATAAAGATAAGCGGTGAGAAATAGTGAAGAAGACAAATCGCGCTTTCCATCGGCCGTTGTTAATAGCCAAAGAAGCGTCAATCTAATCGCATTAAAAGATTAAAGTGCGATGATTGCGATCGTCCGCCCCTTCGTTCCAGTCGCACGGTACTTGTCGTTCTTCCATTTGTCACCAGTCAGAAAAATCCAATGGCAATATCGTCGGTTGGGAGGGCCTCACATCGTGTCTTTGGCTGGATAGATGAGAAAAGAGGACGTGTAAGAGAGCAAGAAATTGTGGAACAAGATTGTCAGATCCATAATGACAAGTACAACGGAAAGTAGTGGAGCAAAAAAAGATAGTAAAATGCACTTTAACTGATGTTCGCGTGTCATCTTTTCATCACGGCGCTTTTAAAAGAAAAATATTTAAAAAATGAAAAATGCATCTCTTCGTGCGGTTAAAAGATAACAAGCAAAAAAAATAAGAAAAATATAAAAAATACAATAAACAAATTATATTTATATTACGTACATGATAATATATATGTGTATACAACCAAAAGTTTAGTGCATCCTTTCAGATACACCCTGTATATATACATATAATTTGCAATGTAGCACAAATGTCCTACTGTGTTTTTAAATAATGTAAATATATTAAAAAAAAAAAAGTATTTTACAATCTAAACAACAATAGATAATATCGAGATGCGATACATAGAGATTATATATTTTAATATATATTAAGACAATTTAAATTCTCTTGTTTGACAATTTGACAATTTAATTATTTAGATAAAACGTGAAAATTAATCAAACACATGATCGCTATTTAGTGTATGATAGAATGAATCACAATTCTATTTTCATTTAGAAATTTAATCAAATGATCACGTAATTGAAAAAGAAAATTGGCTCTTTATCGTTGGTTGTAAGGCAGAATTCTTATATTCTTATCTTTTCTTATTAAAGGTAGATCTATCAGATAAGATGTAACGCTTTTTTAATGTATATTGTATATATATATCTATAAGATGCGATACATATACCGAGGGACTGACATTACATTTCAGTGCATTGAATTCTTTGTGGCATAATAATCTACGGCCGAGAATCAAATTTCAATCCTTTTTGTAATATCATTTGTAGCTCCAACCGATCTTTAAACGACACATTTCAACCTCGCGTAAAGTCGACGTATGTATTCGAGATCTCCACTCGTCACGTCTTCGTGACGGACTCGATTTTCGTGCACATAATAACCGCTTCTCCATCGTCACGATATGCCGCTTCATTCAAATACCAAGCAAAGAGACCGTGCTTTCTACTCGTAATCGAGTTTACACTTTTCCTTTCCCTGCTATTTTTTGCTCTACCATTCTGCCAAAAAAAAATTAAGTATAATACTATTCCATATAACTAACGTTACTCAACTTAAGCGGATAAGCGAGTTGTACATAATAACTCGTCTAGAAGTTACACGATTTGATGAGAAAAGTATGCAACTTGTTTACCGTTATTAAACTTATATCTGAATGTGTTTTATGCAGATCTAAAAACAATGAAGGTATATGGTACGTGTATTCGCGCATTTGCAAAATGCTTTACAATCCATCATAGCGATTCGCACGGCAAACAAGTTTCGCAACTATACGCCGTAGGAATGTATAGCTCAATTATACCCGGTAATTAGTTCCGCTGGAAGTTTAAGGGTACATTCAATCATGCGCCAGCGTGTGCAATTATAATAGCGCGAAAGCACTTTTTGTTCTCTCTTAGATTATCTATTTTCTATTGTAAGAAACTGTAATAAATGACGGAAAGAGTTGCTAGCCCTTCTTTTTGAGCAATAAATACTGAAAATTCATAGTAAGCATTTATATACGTACACTTATTGCAAAAAATAATTATAATAAATATGTTATAATAAATATCTAAATTATAATAAAACATATCTTATATGTTTTAACATATTCCAAATTTTTCTCGATATATATATATCCGAAACAATATTACTTAAATGTAATCATTATTTGAATATAAAGTCGCATTTTTTTATTATATCAACGTTTTAAAGAACGTTTTAGAAAAATTATTAATAGTAAATAACAAAGTTTATGCACATGATATAAGATAGTGGAAAACCCAATACGAATTTCAGTATACCAATTCAGTAGATCGAACTGTCGAGCATAGGAATCCAATTCACAGTGCCGTTTTGTGGAGATCAGCGTGAACGAGATTCAAGGGACTCGGGATAAGGGTGGGTTTCTCTGTTGCATGGAACGCTCCGCTTGCCTGAGTTCCAGATCTTACTTTCTTCCTTCTTGCGTGTATGCGACAGGATACGTCACGGAAATATTCAGATTGGAAATTGGTTATATATTGGGGACATTGCCTTTTAGGCTACTCACCAGCACAGTAATATACGCGGATGAAGAAGATTTTAAAGATAAAAATGCATCGCGAATTTTATATCGTGCTTTCTTTTACAGTCTCTCTAAAGGGTGAGCGCCTGCTTAATGCTTCATCTTTTATATAATGGCTAGCCCGTTACGATGCCTCTTTTTGCGCATGAACGAATTCATCAATGTGCTTTAAACGCGGCGCCATTAATCCTTATCGAGGTGTATCAAATGCCAGTCATGCAGGTCAAATTACTCGTAAAATTAAGAAAAAAAGTGCCATATAAAGAAAATAAAATTATACTCCATGGAATATAATTGTTATTAATTATTACAGTAAAGATGGAATTCATGTAGAAAGTAAGATAAATATAAAATGAAGTTAAATAAAGATTCAAAAAATTATCAATACTGCTATAAAAAGTAATCAAGATTTTATCCATCTTGATCAAATTAAGAGCGAATAGATTAAACGATTAAATATTACATAAAAGGGGAAATTTTTCAAATTTGTTTTATTTCTAATTTGATTTTGGAAAGTAAACTTTTTTTTTAATTTTAACTCATTCCTTGCTTCTGACATATAGAGCGCAGAAAGATTCTGATTGCCTAAAGTAATTGAATTCGACGCTGACCTTATCGCTCTAACAATTTTTCGCTTGCAATAACTTAATAACGAAAAAAGACAAATAAACGATTAGAACTGTAAGTGACGTTCGTCAACCTTTGCCGAGACTTAAGTTTTCCGATTCATTAGAGAAACTTAATCCGATATGCCGATATATTCTCTATGTTTCCAATATAGCGATTTATGTAATTCCATATAACTCTTACGCAACATCTACGTGCGATATTGGCTTACGACTAAGCACTACTTATCGCTCAAATTAAATACTCTGAGATATAACGATTAATATTATAATGTATAATTAAAATTGATAAGTAACAGTTCGCTGTTTAATAAAATGTCGACTCACCTCGCACTTGGGATACTCTTCTTCCGGAGTGGGTCTTTTCCACCCGAGTAACGGAGGTATACAAACGAGCGCCGATAACAGCCAGACGAGAGCGATCATGAGCGCCGCTCTAGCCGGCGTTCTTTTCTTCAGGTAGTCGACCGCTTGGGTGATGCTCCAAAATCTGTCCAGGCTGATGAGGCACAGATTCATAATACTGGCTGTACACAGCAGCACGTCCATGGCGGAATAAATGTCACACCACCAATATCCGAAGATCCAATAGCCCATGATTTCGTTAGCGAGCGAGAATGGCATGATCACGAGGCCGAGAAAGAAGTCCGCTACCGCGAGGCTGGCTATAAACCAATTCTGTATGTTCTTGAGCGCCTTTTCCGTGGCGATGGCGATTATCACTAGCATATTTCCCACGACAATCACGATCATCAGCATCGTCGCCAGGATAGACGCAAGTACAATGTGCGGAAGGGTATATCCCGACGGATACAGACTCTCACCCAGAACGATCAAAGTATCGTTATACAAGCTAAGGTTCCAAGGATGACGGTGACTCATGTTGAACGAGTCATTGAACGAACCGATCATGTCCTCCATCGTGTCGCTAAAACCGAAGAGCAACAGACCCTTCCCGTATTCGATCGCGACTCCCTCCTCCGTGCTATTCGATATACCTGTACTCACACTTACACTATCGTTAGTACTGCCTATGCCGTCGACACTTTGTTCACCGCCGCCACCTCCAGTGCCTATCCCTGCCACGTTTTCTTCGCCAGTAAATGCAGTTTCCCCACTCTTTGTCGCGCCTACGGTGTTCCTGCCACAAACTCGACTTTCTGAAGTCTGGCCGCAATGGTGGGAAGCTTCCTTTCTTGCTGCCACGTCGCCCTTTCTCTTCGTTGCAATGCCACGCTCGCCGCCCTCGGTGTATTTTTCGTTGTTTCTAGCAGCGTTTTCGCTCGCTTCTGTCTCTGCACCTCCGCCACTGTGGAGGCGATTAACACGATCGCTGGTAGCTGCCACGGCCTGACGCTCACCGTACGGGATCGCACGTGTCGGGTGGGCCTCGTTACTCGAAAACGTAGAGCCACCACTGATTGGTCGAGACCACGTCATGTTCCCCTCGAAGACGCTCGTGGACGCCGTTGTCGGACTATCAACGGCGATGGTCATAATGCTGCCGAGTAGCGGCATCACTCGCACCCTCGCCGGGGACTGTAGATGCTATCTCGGTAAAGATGAAGCGGAGGTCGTGGCCGCGCGCGAATAGCAACGTGCCCCGGGTGCCAGCTCGAGTAGCAGCAACAACAGAAGGGTGGTGGTCTCGTCGCATCTCGAGGCCAAGGGCGTCATGCCCGTTTCAGGATAATACCATCGTTGTCGAATACGCAAATGCCGCCACACGCGCTCTTCCTCGTCCTCTCGGCTCGTTCCTGTGAAAGCCGTTGTATCTCGTTCGGGATCGTCTCTTCGGATCGAACAATTCGTGAAATCAGTTTTTCTTGGTTTCGACGCTTGTTTCCGCTGTATCTAATCGATGCGTATCTCGAGGAAATGACTCAAATTTATCGATAATACCGCGCTCGATCAGAAAAGTACTTTTCGACCTATCTTTCTTTTTCTCTTGCTCGAATTAAAAGTTTCTCGTGCTGTTACAATTTCGTGTAATTTTTTTTAGGATTTACACTAGCACTCGCGCATGTATTATACCCTTGCCTAGCGCAGCTAAAAAGTGCGAGTAAAGTTCGTCTTCGGCAATCGCTTTTTTCTCTATTGGACCAAATTTTTTAGAATCTAGTTTAGCTTAACTTTAGCTAATTTCGGCGTGATTGACACCTTCGGTTTCGTGCCGCTACGGTGCTGTTGTAACGTTATTTACGTTACTTCTTCGGTGCCGTGGTCATACGTAGTTGGTCTCTGATTTATTGCTTACATGAGTCGCAACTCCGTTTCTCGTATTTCCTGCATTCACTGGTCCACAACAGACTTAACACGGACAGAGTGTACAGAGATTTATGGGTAGTCCGGTGGGCGACTTAGTTAAGAATATCAAGGTAGATAGAGAAAGAGATAGATAAGATAGAAAAGGAGAGAGGAAAAGAGATAGTCTATATGAGAATAAGAGTAAAAAATTGGTCCCCGTTATTTTTTTACCTTTCCTTTACATTAAGCTTGAGCAGCCTACATAGCCTGGAGGCAAATAAAGCGAGAAAAGTTTTCTTGAGAAAGTGTCGACGATCGTAAGAAAATTTCTCTTTAGGACTAGCATAGATCCCCAAAGTAATTTCGCAAGACGACAGACGTTTTGACACGGTCGCGAGACGTGATTTCGTGCAAATCTTGATAATTGATTACGCGCTCGTATGTTTCTCCCTTCGTGACGGAAATGCGATTTCCCTGTCGCTTCTTCTCGCTTTCTTTCCTCGAGTTCTACGCGCGGCTCAACGTTGTTTCACTCTAACGATGCCCGCGAGCTAATTAATTATCGCGTCGGGGCTAAAAGGCTAAGCGCTGGATACCCGTACTGCTCCGACCTGCTTTTCGAATACTACAAAATCAGCGAGAAAACACTTTGACGAAAAATTAGAACGACAGAGATTATAGATTGTAGAACTATGTACACGTAATTATATACGCTACACGTAATATGTAATATGTATAATATGTATTAATACGAGTTTAAAAGTGCTACTCGCGAATTGTATGTGTGTGCATGTCTTATTTTTAATTAGTTTCCGTAAACGGAAGCGGAGTTACACAGAATTAGCGATATATCGATTGTATATGCTTACAAGTGCGTATATTCTTAATCTCTAAGCTCTATTATTGAACATAGAACATGTAGAGATATAAAGTATGAGATAATTAATACTTAATATACAATATATATAGTGATAGAGAGAAGCAAAGAGAGGAAGAAGATAGAGAAATATGGAGAGCAAGAGCGAGAGCAAGCGAGAAAGAGAGAGAAAGAGAGAAAGAGAGAAAGAGAGAGAGAGAGAGAGAGAGAGACAGAGAGAGAAAAGAAAAAATAAAGTAAAATTGCTCTTTTGCTTTAAAGAAATCACGCGCGTTAATATAATATAATAACTTCCCTGTATTTACACCTATTTACACGTCATTAAACCTCATTACTTGAGAATGTGTCCGGTTTACTTGTCTCTCGTTCTAACCCTCCTTCATACGGCACTAGGTCATCGGATTAAGCAGATCCGTTCACGAATTCACTCACGTTTTCGAATAATCTATATTTGTCTACCGCAAAACACACTGTACAATCTCAACAATAATAGAGAATTAATGTGAAAATATTTATCTCATTAATGTCGCATGCTAGTCTTTGTATCGAAATATCATTCGTTGTCCCCGATATATTCAGATTTTCAATGGCAGTTCGTGATATTTGTCGGACGTTCCTTTGCTCGAACTACTTTTTGGATTTGGCGGTTCTTGACGCGGTAAAAGAATCCTCCTTCAATTTCTCCTTGCAAAATTTGTTTTCATCCGATTTGTAAGTCTTTTTATATCGCGCCGTCTCTATTTCGAAGCGAATCACAAAATAGTCAATAATTCTTAATTCTTTCTTTTTCGATTTGATGCCACTCGATTGATTTTGATCCGATTTCCGATTGACGATTTAACGGTGCTACCTTTTCCATCGGCTTTGACAATATCGGAGATCAGCTTTTACTTGAGACATTTCGCTTCTGACGGAGCGCGTCTCGTTTTCTACGAGGGTCGTTATTTCCGCGTACGTATGTTTCCTATCCTTGTATTTACTCAGGGCGAATCTATAAAGCGGCGAAAGTGCACGCAAAAACCTTCAGCAATACCGTATTATGTGCTTAGCATCGCGTTTTTAAAAAGCCTCGGATAGATTTTGTTTCGCCTCTCTGTTTCAAATATTCCAACACCAAAATCGGAATTGCGAATCGAATGCGTTGCAAAACGACATTATCGGAACGGAATTCAATTCGCGCACTTCGATTGGAGCACGATTGGTCTCACGGGGTCTCCCCACAAACACACGTATAACTTTTCGGTTCTTTTAAACAGTCGGCACAATTCACTCGAGCGAGCCTGGCTTGCGAGTGGAGGCTTTTCGCGGCAATTGGATTACCTCGCGGATATTGACAGAAGGGGTTAATATATGACCAGATAAATGACAGAATTAAACGAAGGACTAGGAAAGGATATTATGAATTACGGCATTTGTGTTGATATCAACGACACAGTCGCGTGGCGGGCTGTCCAGCAGCCAACTTCTCGACTTCTCAGCACCACGAGAAGCCTCGGGAACGTCTCGTTTGTCCTCGTGTCTCTTCAACACCGTGTGCATGCGTGCGTGCGTGCGAGTAGTTCGAGGTTGTCTCGTGGGTGTTTAGAAACGCACTGCAGCCGTGAGGGACGAGCCAGGAACTCGGACTCCCTCTCGTGTCGTTCGGTGGATGGAGACTCTCGCAGGATGTCGGCGGAGAGAGAGTGAGAGAATGTACGTGCGCACGTGTCTATGTGTATGTCTTTCTCTTTCTCTCTTTCTCTCTTTCTCTCTCTCTCTCTCTCTCTCTCTCTCTCTCTCTCTCTCTCTCTCTCTCTCTCTCTTATAACTAACGTTACTCAACTTAAGCGGATAAGCGAGTTGTACATAATAACTCGTCTAGAAGTTACACGATTTGATGAGAAAAGTATGCAACTTGTTTACCGTTATTAAACTTATATCTGAATGTGTTTTATGCAGATCTAAAAACAATGAAGGTATATGGTACGTGTATTCGCGCATTTGCAAAATGCTTTACAATCCATCATAGCGATTCGCACGGCAAACAAGTTTCGCAACTATACGCCGTAGGAATGTATAGCTCAATTATACCCGGTAATTAGTTCCGCTGGAAGTTTAAGGGTACATTCAATCATGCGCCAGCGTATGCAATTATAATAGCGCGAAAGCACTTTTTGTTCTCTCTTAGATTATCTATTTTCTATTGTAAGAAACTGTAATAAATGACGGAAAGAGTTGCTAGCCCTTCTTTTTGAGCAATAAATACTGAAAATTCATAGTAAGCATTTATATACGTACACTTATTGCAAAAAATAATTATAATAAATATGTTATAATAAATATCTAAATTATAATAAAACATATCTTATATGTATTTACAAATTCCAAATTTTTCTCGATATATATATATATATCCGAAACAATATTACTTAAATGTAATCATTATTTGAATATAAAGTCGCATTTTTTTATTATATCAACGTTTTAAAGAACGTTTTAGAAAAATTATTAATAGTAAATAACAAAGTTTATGCACATGATATAAGATAGTGGAAAACCCAATACGAATTTCAGTATACCAATTCAGTAGATCGAACTGTCGAGCATAGGAATCCAATTCACAGTGCCGTTTTGTGGAGATCAGCGTGAACGAGATTCAAGGGACTCGGGATAAGGGTGGGTTTCTCTGTTGCATGGAACGCTCCGCTTGCCTGAGTTCCAGATCTTACTTTCTTCCTTCTTGCGTGTATGCGACAGGATACGTCACGGAAATATTCAGATTGGAAATTGGTTATATATTGGGGACATTGCCTTTTAGGCTACTCACCAGCACAGTAATATACGCGGATGAAGAAGATTTTAAAGATAAAAATGCATCGCGAATTTTATATCGTGCTTTCTTTTACAGTCTCTCTAAAGGGTGAGCGCCTGCTTAATGCTTCATCTTTTATATAATGGCTAGCCCGTTACGATGCCTCTTTTTGCGCATGAACGAATTCATCAATGTGCTTTAAACGCGGCGCCATTAATCCTTATCGAGGTGTATCAAATGCCAGTCATGCAGGTCAAATTACTCGTAAAATTAAGAAAAAAAGTGCCATATAAAGAAAATAAAATTATACTCCATGGAATATAATTGTTATTAATTATTACAGTAAAGATGGAATTCATGTAGAAAGTAAGATAAATATAAAATGAAGTTAAATAAAGATTCAAAAAATTATCAATACTGCTATAAAAAGTAATCAAGATTTTATCCATCTTGATCAAATTAAGAGCGAATAGATTAAACGATTAAATATTACATAAAAGGGGAAATTTTTCAAATTTGTTTTATTTCTAATTTGATTTTGGAAAGTAAACTTTTTTTTTAATTTTAACTCATTCCTTGCTTCTGACATATAGAGCGCAGAAAGATTCTGATTGCCTAAAGTAATTGAATTCGACGCTGACCTTATCGCTCTAACAATTTTTCGCTTGCAATAACTTAATAACGAAAAAAGACAAATAAACGATTAGAACTGTAAGTGACGTTCGTCAACCTTTGCCGAGACTTCAGTTTTCCGATTCATTAGAGAAACTTAATCCGATATGCCGATATATTCTCTATGTTTCCAATATAGCGATTTATGTAATTCCATATAACTCTTACGCAACATCTACGTGCGATATTGGCTTACGACTAAGCACTACTTATCGCTCAAATTAAATACTCTGAGATATAACGATTAATATTATAATGTATAATTAAAATTGATAAGTAACAGTTCGTTGTTTAATAAAATGTCGACTCACCTCGCACTTGGGATACTCTTCTTCCGGAGTGGGTCTTTTCCACCCGAGTAACGGAGGTATACAAACGAGCGCCGATAACAGCCAGACGAGAGCGATCATGAGCGCCGCTCTAGCCGGCGTTCTTTTCTTCAGGTAGTCGACCGCTTGGGTGATGCTCCAAAATCTGTCCAGGCTGATGAGGCACAGATTCATAATACTGGCTGTACACAGCAGCACGTCCATGGCGGAATAAATGTCACACCACCAATATCCGAAGATCCAGTAGCCCATGATTTCGTTAGCGAGCGAGAATGGCATGATCACGAGGCCGAGAAAGAAGTCCGCTACCGCGAGGCTGGCTATAAACCAATTCTGTATGTTCTTGAGCGCCTTTTCCGTGGCGATGGCGATTATCACTAGCATATTTCCCACGACAATCACGATCATCAGCATCGTCGCCAGGATAGACGCAAGTACAATGTGCGGAAGGGTATATCCCGACGGATACAGACTCTCACCCAGAACGATCAAAGTATCGTTATACAAGCTAAGGTTCCAAGGATGACGGTGACTCATGTTGAACGAGTCATTGAACGAACCGATCATGTCCTCCATCGTGTCGCTAAAACCGAAGAGCAACAGACCCTTCCCGTATTCGATCGCGACTCCCTCCTCCGTGCTATTCGATATACCTGTACTCACACTTACACTATCGTTAGTACTGCCTATGCCGTCGACACTTTGTTCACCGCCGCCACCTCCAGTGCCTATCCCTGCCACGTTTTCTTCGCCAGTAAATGCAGTTTCCCCACTCTTTGTCGCGCCTACGGTGTTCCTGCCACAAACTCGACTTTCTGAAGTCTGGCCGCAATGGTGGGAAGCTTCCTTTCTTGCTGCCACGTCGCCCTTTCTCTTCGTTGCAATGCCACGCTCGCCGCCCTCGGTGTATTTTTCGTTGTTTCTAGCAGCGTTTTCGCTCGCTTCTGTCTCTGCACCTCCGCCACTGTGGAGGCGATTAACACGATCGCTGGTAGCTGCCACGGCCTGACGCTCACCGTACGGGATCGCACGTGTCGGGTGGGCCTCGTTACTCGAAAACGTAGAGCCACCACTGATTGGTCGAGACCACGTCATGTTCCCCTCGAAGACGCTCGTGGACGCCGTTGTCGGACTATCAACGGCGATGGTCATAATGCTGCCGAGTAGCGGCATCACTCGCACCCTCGCCGGGGACTGTAGATGCTATCTCGGTAAAGATGAAGCGGAGGTCGTGGCCGCGCGCGAATAGCAACGTGCCCCGGGTGCCAGCTCGAGTAGCAGCAACAACAGAAGGGTGGTGGTCTCGTCGCATCTCGAGGCCAAGGGCGTCATGCCCGTTTCAGGATAATACCATCGTTGTCGAATACGCAAATGCCGCCACACGCGCTCTTCCTCGTCCTCTCGGCTCGTTCCTGTGAAAGCCGTTGTATCTCGTTCGGGATCGTCTCTTCGGATCGAACAATTCGTGAAATCAGTTTTTCTTGGTTTCGACGCTTGTTTCCGCTGTATCTAATCGATGCGTATCTCGAGGAAATGACTCAAATTTATCGATAATACCGCGCTCGATCAGAAAAGTACTTTTCGACCTATCTTTCTTTTTCTCTTGCTCGAATTAAAAGTTTCTCGTGCTGTTACAATTTCGTGTAATTTTTTTTAGGATTTACACTAGCACTCGCGCATGTATTATACCCTTGCCTAGCGCAGCTAAAAAGTGCGAGTAAAGTTCGTCTTCGGCAATCGCTTTTTTCTCTATTGGACCAAATTTTTTAGAATCTAGTTTAGCTTAACTTTAGCTAATTTCGGCGTGATTGACACCTTCGGTTTCGTGCCGCTACGGTGCTGTTGTAACGTTATTTACGTTACTTCTTCGGTGCCGTGGTCATACGTAGTTGGTCTCTGATTTATTGCTTACATGAGTCGCAACTCCGTTTCTCGTATTTCCTGCATTCACTGGTCCACAACAGACTTAACACGGACAGAGTGTACAGAGATTTATGGGTAGTCCGGTGGGCGACTTAGTTAAGAATATCAAGGTAGATAGAGAAAGAGATAGATAAGATAGAAAAGGAGAGAGGAAAAGAGATAGTCTATATGAGAATAAGAGTAAAAAATTGGTCCCCGTTATTTTTTTACCTTTCCTTTACATTAAGCTTGAGCAGCCTACATAGCCTGGAGGCAAATAAAGCGAGAAAAGTTTTCTTGAGAAAGTGTCGACGATCGTAAGAAAATTTCTCTTTAGGACTAGCATAGATCCCCAAAGTAATTTCGCAAGACGACAGACGTTTTGACACGGTCGCGAGACGTGATTTCGTGCAAATCTTGATAATTGATTACGCGCTCGTATGTTTCTCCCTTCGTGACGGAAATGCGATTTCCCTGTCGCTTCTTCTCGCTTTCTTTCCTCGAGTTCTACGCGCGGCTCAACGTTGTTTCACTCTAACGATGCCCGCGAGCTAATTAATTATCGCGTCGGGGCTAAAAGGCTAAGCGCTGGATACCCGTACTGCTCCGACCTGCTTTTCGAATACTACAAAATCAGCGAGAAAACACTTTGACGAAAAATTAGAACGACAGAGATTATAGATTGTAGAACTATGTACACGTAATTATATACGCTACACGTAATATGTAATATGTATAATATGTATTAATACGAGTTTAAAAGTGCTACTCGCGAATTGTATGTGTGTGCATGTCTTATTTTTAATTAGTTTCCGTAAACGGAAGCGGAGTTACACAGAATTAGCGATATATCGATTGTATATGCTTACAAGTGCGTATATTCTTAATCTCTAAGCTCTATTATTGAACATAGAACATGTAGAGATATAAAGTATGAGATAATTAATACTTAATATACAATATATATAGTGATAGAGAGAAGCAAAGAGAGGAAGAAGATAGAGAAATATGGAGAGCAAGAGCGAGAGCAAGCGAGAAAGAGAGAGAAAGAGAGAAAGAGAGAAAGAGAGAGAGAGAGAGAGAGAGAGACAGAGAGAGAAAAGAAAAAATAAAGTAAAATTGCTCTTTTGCTTTAAAGAAATCACGCGCGTTAATATAATATAATAACTTCCCTGTATTTACACCTATTTACACGTCATTAAACCTCATTACTTGAGAATGTGTCCGGTTTACTTGTCTCTCGTTCTAACCCTCCTTCATACGGCACTAGGTCATCGGATTAAGCAGATCCGTTCACGAATTCACTCACGTTTTCGAATAATCTATATTTGTCTACCGCAAAACACACTGTACAATCTCAACAATAATAGAGAATTAATGTGAAAATATTTATCTCATTAATGTCGCATGCTAGTCTTTGTATCGAAATATCATTCGTTGTCCCCGATATATTCAGATTTTCAATGGCAGTTCGTGATATTTGTCGGACGTTCCTTTGCTCGAACTACTTTTTGGATTTGGCGGTTCTTGACGCGGTAAAAGAATCCTCCTTCAATTTCTCCTTGCAAAATTTGTTTTCATCCGATTTGTAAGTCTTTTTATATCGCGCCGTCTCTATTTCGAAGCGAATCACAAAATAGTCAATAATTCTTAATTCTTTCTTTTTCGATTTGATGCCACTCGATTGATTTTGATCCGATTTCCGATTGACGATTTAACGGTGCTACCTTTTCCATCGGCTTTGACAATATCGGAGATCAGCTTTTACTTGAGACATTTCGCTTCTGACGGAGCGCGTCTCGTTTTCTACGAGGGTCGTTATTTCCGCGTACGTATGTTTCCTATCCTTGTATTTACTCAGGGCGAATCTATAAAGCGGCGAAAGTGCACGCAAAAACCTTCAGCAATACCGTATTATGTGCTTAGCATCGCGTTTTTAAAAAGCCTCGGATAGATTTTGTTTCGCCTCTCTGTTTCAAATATTCCAACACCAAAATCGGAATTGCGAATCGAATGCGTTGCAAAACGACATTATCGGAACGGAATTCAATTCGCGCACTTCGATTGGAGCACGATTGGTCTCACGGGGTCTCCCCACAAACACACGTATAACTTTTCGGTTCTTTTAAACAGTCGGCACAATTCACTCGAGCGAGCCTGGCTTGCGAGTGGAGGCTTTTCGCGGCAATTGGATTACCTCGCGGATATTGACAGAAGGGGTTAATATATGACCAGATAAATGACAGAATTAAACGAAGGACTAGGAAAGGATATTATGAATTACGGCATTTGTGTTGATATCAACGACACAGTCGCGTGGCGGGCTGTCCAGCAGCCAACTTCTCGACTTCTCAGCACCACGAGAAGCCTCGGGAACGTCTCGTTTGTCCTCGTGTCTCTTCAACACCGTGTGCATGCGTGCGTGCGTGCGAGTAGTTACTTTTCGACCTATCTTTCTTTTTCTCTTGCTCGAATTAAAAGTTTCTCGTGCTGTTACAATATTTCGTGTAATTTTTTTAGGATTTGCACTAGCACTCGCGCATGTATTATACCCTTGCCTAGCGCAGCTAAAAAGTGCGAGTAAAGTTCGTCTTCGGCAATCGCTTTTTTCTCTATTGGACCAAATTTTTTAGAATCTAGTTTAGCTTAACTTTAGCTAATTTCGGCGTGATTGACACCTTCGGTTTCGTGCCGCTACGGTGTTGTTGTAACGTTATTTACGTTACTTCTTCGGTGTCGTGGTCATACGTAGTTGGTCTCTGATTTATTGCTTACATGAGTCGCAACTCCGTTTCTCGTATTTCCTGCATTCACTGGTCCACAACAGACTTAACACGGACAGAGTGTACAGAGATTTATGGGTAGTCCGGTGGGCGACTTAGTTAAGAATATCAAGGTAGATAGAGAAAGTGAAAGAGAAAGAGATAGATAAGATAGAAAAGGAGAGAGGAAAAGAGATAGTCTATATGAGAATAAGAGTAAAAAATTGGTCCCCGTTATTTTTTTACCTTTCCTTTACATTAAGCTTGAGCAGCCTACATAGCCTGGAGGCAAATAAAGCGAGAAAAGTTTTCTTGAGAAAGTGTCGACGATCGTAAGAAAATTTCTCTTTAGGACTAGCATAGATCCCCAAAGTAATTTCGCAAGACGACAGACGTTTTGACACGGTCGCGAGACGTGATTTCGTGCAAATCTTGATAATTGATTACGCGCTCGTATGTTTCTCCCTTCGTGACGGAAATGCGATTTCCCTGTCGCTTCTTCTCGCTTTCTTTCCTCGAGTTCTACGCGCGGCTCAACGTTGTTTCACTCTAACGATGCCCGCGAGCTAATTAATTATCGCGTCGGGGCTAAAAGGCTAAGCGCTGGATACCCGTACTGCTCCGACCTGCTTTTCGAATACTACAAAATCAGCGAGAAAACACTTTGACGAAAAATTAGAACGACAGAGATTATAGATTGTAGAACTATGTACACGTAATTATATACGCTACACGTAATATGTAATATGTATAATATGTATTAATACGAGTTTAAAAGTGCTACTCGCGAATTGTATGTGTGTGCATGTCTTATTTTTAATTAGTTTCCGTAAACGGAAGCGGAGTTACACAGAATTAGCGATATATCGATTGTATATGCTTACAAGTGCGTATATTCTTAATCTCTAAGCTCTATTATTGAACATAGAACATGTAGAGATATAAAGTATGAGATAATTAATACTTAATATACAATATATATAGTGATAGAGAGAAGCAAAGAGAGGAAGAAGATAGAGAAATATGGAGAGCAAGAGCGAGAGCAAGCGAGAAAGAGAGAGAAAGAGAGAAAGAGAGAGAGAGAGAGAGAGAGAGACAGAGAGAGAAAAGAAAAAATAAAGTAAAATTGCTCTTTTGCTTTAAAGAAATCACGCGCGTTAATATAATATAATAACTTCCCTGTATTTACACCTATTTACACGTCATTAAACCTCATTACTTGAGAATGTGTCCAGTTTACTTGTCTCTCGTTCTAACCCTCCTTCATACGGCACTAGGTCATCGGATTAAGCAGATCCGTTCACGAATTCACTCACGTTTTCGAATAATCTATATTTGTCTACCGCAAAACACACTGTACAATCTCAACAATAATAGAGAATTAATGTGAAAATATTTATCTCATTAATGTCGCATGCTAGTCTTTGTATCGAAATATCATTCGTTGTCCCCGATATATTCAGATTTTCAATGGCAGTTCGTGATATTTGTCGGACGTTCCTTTGCTCGAACTACTTTTTGGATTTGGCGGTTCTTGACGCGGTAAAAGAATCCTCCTTCAATTTCTCCTTGCAAAATTTGTTTTCATCCGATT